TATATATATATATGCATATATATATATATATATATATATATATATATATATATATATATATATATATATATATATACATATATATATGTGTGTGTGTGTAAATGCATATACACGTAGGCCTTCCCGCGTGAGCTTCTTCTCCGCCTCCTAACAGGCGTGTGATTCCAATTAACGGCAAAAGCGGTCGTTATGCGCGTTACAAATTACTGCACATCACATTATTTGCGTTTTTTCTTTCCTTCATTTTCTTGCTTTCCTTCTTTCATTTTCTTTTTCTTGCTCTTATTCTTTCATTGTTTTTTTTCTTTCTTTCCTTATTTTATTTATTTTTCTTTCTTTTTTCTTTAATTTATTTTTTCTTGTTTTTTTTCTTTTATTTCTTTTTTCTTTAATTTCTTTTTTCTTTATTTTTTTTTCTTTCTTTTTTTTCTTTTTTTTCTTTCTTTCTTTCATTTCTCTCTCTTGCTCTTTTTCTTTCATTTCTTTTTTCTTCCTTTCTTTCTTTTTTTCTTTATTTCCTTTTTGTTTTTTCTTTCATTTCTTTTTCTTTGCTTTCTTTCTTTCCTTGCTTGCTTGCTTAGAGATTCATGCTTGCTCACGAAGCTGTCAGTTTATTATTCTAACGTTTTTTTATCATTTTCGTTTTTTTCTTTTTCTTTTAATTAATTTCAGTTATAGCTGAGTGTGTCTGTTTTATGCGTCTTTGTGTGGGTGTGTGTGCGTGCATGTCTGTGTTTGGACTGGAAATTTCTGGATTTTCGTTATTTCTTTAATGAGTTCTGCGAATCTACAAAGAGACGAGACAGGGATAGAGATAAAAAGGAGAGTGAAAGAAACTCCACGGCAGAAATGTATATTTTACGAAGTGAAGTCGGGACAATTGCTATTTTTGTATATTGTCGGTCTTCCAATGTAAAATGTTGGATTTTGAGTAGCGTCCTCTCTCTTGTGTTTATCCTAGAGAAATTTAGAAATAATACTGGCTAAAGAAAAGAAGAAGAAGAAGAAAAAAAAAACTAGACAAGGCGCTACATTATGGAACTGCATGGTGACTCAACCTAAACAAAATCCCTAGGACTCGTAAGCAGTAACCCTATATTTGAGTCTGCAGTGATGTCAACATGTGTGATATTCAAATGCCCTTAAATGCGTCATCCTGAGCTCGCTGTTTGTCATATAATTTTTGCATCTCCTCTCGGCTTCTCAGTGCCTCTCCCTCACTCTTTCTACACCTATCCCCTCATTCTTCCTCTCCTTCTCCTCACTTCCTCTCACTCCCTCTACCTCTTCCCCTATTTCCCCTTCCCCTCCTCCTCCTCTTCCCCCTTCCCCCTAGCTTCTCTCGATAATGTTACACATGCATATTAACCTAGATTCAGCGTTTTACATGCAAATTCTCGCTTTTATAAAGAATGAATCCACAATAGCAAAGGTTCATGTCATTGGTTTCAGAGAGGTGGGGAAATATATAATTTTGATATGTGGCAAAACGTTTATGATACTTCATATGGAGATAAATGAACATAATTGATTCTAAAGGGTTAGGAATACATTTCGTCGTAAGAACTTACTTTTAAACTATCGACATGCCTTCCTAATACTTCCATAAATTAACATCTTATGTTTAATCAAATGAAGGAAGTAGCATAGTGCATGTCTCCTGTTCTTCTAAACTCTTATACCATGCGACCTGCCATGCAGAAATATCTAAACGGAACGGCCGTAGAGTGAATGCGGGGGCAGGGGGGGAATAAAGGATAAGTCCGATATGCGAAGCTGAGGCTCGCCCGGGCTATGGGGGAGCCCGGCCTTTGCCGACTAATGTCGACTCGCTAACAGTGTGTCAGCAGGTGCTGACTCGGATGAGCTTAGTCCTTACCCACCGTGGTGCCCAGCCACAGCAGTGACCTCCAGGCGACAATTGCCGACCCCTCGGATGAGAGGCCGACACGTTACCACTGTACTAGCCCGGAGGCTTGGGGGGGGGGGGGGGCTTTCCTCTGTCCGCGGCTGTTCTTCCCATCTGCTCCGTCAGTCTCGCCTACCTGGCCCTTCTGTCTCTCCAGGTTCTCGCGTACTCCGCCACCCGACAGACACAAGCAAGTTTTATCTCTAAACACCACTTGAACGAGCTCTTTGATCCCCATCCGTCCCTTTGAATGGTACTTCTTAATTATACTCTTAAGTTTATTTTTAGCCCCTTCCAAGACCGTTGTCCATTGGGCGCTACTCAAAGGAACACACACAAGTAACTGTTTTGAATAATTACTCGTAAATCAACACAGTGAACATGTATAATTGTAGTTTTGGGGTTAGACTTAAGTGATATCCTTTCTTTCCCTCCGCACACGCCACTTCCCGGCAATAACAGTTCCTTAATGGCGTGCTTTGTTATGCCAGTGTTCTTAGTCATTCTGATTATGAATTCCATATTGTTTGTCACTTACATTGAGAAGCCACAGTGTGTTTGATTGTTTTTTTTGTTTGTTTTGATTTTTTG